GGCTCTCTCGGAAAGTCCAAGAGGCTCTGTCGGGAAGTCCAAAGCCAACCCAGACCCACTCCAAGACACACATACACTGGGACACAGAAACACCCTATCTGGACACAGAAACACTCATCGAGGACACCGAAACCCCCATCTGGACACAAAAACACCTTTTCTCCCCCCCCTCCGGATCCGGAAACCCCACCCCCCCCCCCCCCCCCCCCCGCTACTCACCGCCAGCAAACTACTCCCGGTCCCCACCACCGTCCGCATCACATCCCCCACTGGTGTTCCCAGCACCACTGTCCTCACCACCGCTGTCCCCGCTGGTTCCACCACCGCCCCTACTGTCCCCACCAGTGCCCCCACCACTGTCGCACTGTCCCCGCTGTCCCCAAAACTATTCCCACCACGGTTCCACTCTCCCCACTGTCTCCACCGCCCCAACCACTGCCCGACTATTCCCACTGTCCCCAGTATCCCACTGACTCCTCCGCTGTCCCACCGAGCTGTCCCACTGTTCCCACCACTGTCCCCACTGTCCCCACCACTGTCCCCACTGTACCACTGTCTCATTGTCCCACCGCCGTCCTCGCCACCGCCTTCACCACTGTCCCCACCACCATTGTACCCTCCACTGTCCCACTGTTTCCACCTCATTCCCATTGTCCCCACACCACTGTCCCCACCACCACCGTCACCACCACTGTCCACTGTCCCCCCCTGTTCCCACCATTGTCCCCACCACTGTCCCCACCACTACCGTCCCCACTACTGTCCCACTCCCCACTGTTCCCACCACTGTTCCCACCACGGTTCCACTCTCCCCACTGTCTCCACGAACCCAACCACTGCCTATCCCCACTGTCCCCACTGTCCCACTGACTCCTCCGCTGTCCCACTGAGCTGTCCCACTGTTCCCACCACTGTCCCCACTGTCCCCACCACTGTCCCCACTGTACCTCTGTCCCATTGTCCCACCGCCGTCCTCGCCACCGCCTTTACCACTGTCCCCACCACCATTGTACCCTCCACTATCCCACTGTTTCCACCTCATTCCCACTGTCCTCACCACCACTGTCCCCACCACCACCGTCCCCACCACTGTCCACTGTCCCCCCTGTTCCCACCATTGTCCCCACCACTGTCCCCACCACTGCCGTCCCCACCACTGTCCCACTGTCCCACTGTCCCCACCACTGTCCCGCTGTCCCCTCACCACTGTCCCCACCAACACCGTCCCCACCACTGTCCGCACCCCCACTCGGTTTTCGAGGGGGGGGGGGGTTCGAACCGGTAGTGACCCCCCCCCTTTTCATGATGAACCGGGGGGGGGGGGGGGGGAGGGGTTCGAACCGGTAGTGACCCCCCCCGGTTTTCCGGAGGGGGGGGGGGGGGGGGGGAGGGGTTCGAACCGGTAGTGACCCCCCCCGGTTTTCCGCCAGCAGCGGTAGAAGACGCTCTTTCTCATCAGCAGCATCATCATCATCAGCAGCATCGTCGTCATCGTCATCGCCATCGTCATCGTCACCGTCATCATCATAATCAGAATCAGTATCATCATCATCATCATCAGCATCATCATCAGCAACCTCATCATCAGCAGCATCATGATCATGGTCATCGTCATCGTCATCGCCAGCATCATCAACATGATCGGCATCAACATCATCAGCATCATCATGATTATCGTCGTCATCGTCGTCAGCATCATCATCAATATCAGCATCACGATCACCACCACCGCCATCATCATCAGCATCATCATCAGCGTCAACATCTCCAGCATCATCATCATCAGCATCATCAGCATCAGCATCATCATCGTCATCATTATCGACATCAGTACCAGCATCGTCTCTTTAATTATCAGCAACACCACTACTAACGTATTCCGCACCCTTTCGAGCAGAAGCAACAGCAGAACCAATATGATTGCCGTAAGCAGCACCGTCATACGCATCATGACAAGCGTCAGCATCAGCATGATTACAGCCAACAATATCATTATCATCACCATAGACATATCACCATCAACAGCAAGATCAGCATCGTCTTCATCCGCATCATCATACTCATCATCATCACCATCATCAGCAACATCAGCATCAGCATCATCATCGTCGTCATCGGAATCATCATCAGCGCGATCATGATCATTATCATGATCACGATCATGATCATGATGGTCGTCATCAGCATCATCATCATCATCAGCAGCATCGTCGTCATCACCATCGTCACGGACATCGTCATCGTCATCGTCATCGTCGTCATCATCATCAGCATTATCATCGTCACCGTCACCGTCACCGTCATCAACCTCACCATTATGTTAAGCATCTCCATCATTACCAGCATCATCCTAGTCAGTCGTTGGCCCCTCCTCCTCCTTCTAGTCCTCCTCCCTCCTAGTCCCTCGCCCTCGTCACGATCTGAGTCCCTGCTCCTCCTCTCCCTAGTCCAGATCCCTCGTCCTCCTCCTCCTCCTCCTCCTCGTCCTCCATTCCTCTCCTCCGGTGCCTCCTCCTCCTCCTCTTCCTCCTCCTCCTCCTCCTCCTCCTCCCTCCTCCTCCTCCTCCTCCTCCTCCCCCCCCTTCCTCCTCCTCCTCCTCCTCCTCCTCCTCCTCCTCTTCCTCCCTCCTCTCTCCTCCTCCTCCTCCTCCTCCTCCTCCTCCTCCTCCTCCTCCTCCTCCTCCTCCTCCTCCTCCTCCTCCATTCTTCTCCTCTGGTGCCTCCTCCTCCTCCAATTCCTCTCCTCCGAGGCGTCCTCCCTCGATGGGCCGGCGCCTCCACCATCTGGCCGTCCTCCTCGTCGTTGCTCGGCATGGCCTCCTCGGAGCGCCCGCCGCGGCCGGGCAGCTCGACGGCCACGACCTCTCGGGGGAGGACTCGGGCTCTGAGCCGTCGACGGTGCAGGCACGACGCTGCAGGAGGCACATACGATAAGAGGTATTGTTGGCACACTGTTTTCCCCAACGGGCAAATCCACTTCCCCTCAATGGGGCTATACCCGTGCGGCAAGGCACGAAGGATTCCGCACCGATGGACGAAGGCGCACGCCCGACTAGATGTGAAGGTATTGTTGGCACACTCGTCGCTGATGTTTGAGGATCCTGAGGCGCCGCAGGGCTTGGGCCCCCAGGGCGGATCGCGAGAGCAGAGACTTGCGCGGGGCACCTGCTGGCAGGCGGATCGATTGTTTGGCGTGCCCACTGTACTGGATCTCATTGCCGCTGGCATGCTATCTCTTGGCAGGGAGGTCAACCACCAGGAACCCGAACTCAGCCGAGAACCCACCAGACACCCGCGATGGATGCCCCAACAAGGAGGTCGGGGGGAACCAGTCTTGGGCCAGGAGGCAGGAGGGGGAGAGAGACCGGAGGAGGCGGATGGAGGAGCAGGAGCAGGAGTCGATTTACCAGCCTGGAACATATCCATATCCCTATGCTGGGCATCGCCCCATCACGATGCCAATCCCAGGGATTCCCTCAATTTTTGAGGGCGCATCCCTAAGATTGCCAGCGCCTTTCGGCGCGTCAATCTTAGGGATAGGGATTAGTTCGAGGCTGGATGCCCCAACAAGAAGGTCGGGGGGAACCGGTCTTGGGCCAGGAGGCAGGAGAGGGAGAGACCGGAGGAGGGGGATGGAGGAGCAGGAGCAGGCGTCGGCTGCTTTCCTTAGAGCCCCTCGTCTCTCCGCGCCATGCGTGTCTCGCACCCGGCCCCCGCGCCCTACCTGGAGAGCTGCGGCGGCGGCCGCCGCTTGCTGCCGCTTCGAACTCTCGCCCCAGCGGCTGGCCTGTCCCAGCAGGGGGAGGATAGGGATAGAGAACTATGCACATACACCGACTCTGGCCAGGCCCATCCTGAGCCCAGGATCGGTACATACGCCCTCCTGCCTTGGCCAGGAAGGTATATGCACCGATCCTGGGTCAAGGACGGGCCTTGCCAGGATCGGTGCATGTGCATAGTTCTCTTCGCTGTCGCTTCGAACTCTCGCTCCAGCGGCTGGTCTGTCCACGCAGGAGGAGGAGGACAAGGAGTATCTTGTTCCCATCCTACTTAAGGATCCCATCCCAGACATAATTTCGGGCACCCGGAAGAGTGTTTGAAGAGTGTCGAAACAGTGTCGAAGCAGTGTCGGGCGAGTGTCTCCCAGAGCCCGACACGTGAAAACCCTCCAGTTTCGGTAAGCGCTCGACATTCTTTCTGGTGGTCAACGCTAAAGTAGGTTGGAGCATCATAAGACAAGGACTGAGGCCAACCACGGCGCACCGCACCGAACAGTACCATCGGGCCCGTGCCCGATTGCTCTGGAGCCCGTGCCGCCCTTCCCGCGCACCTGCCCCCCCCTCCTCCCACTGTCGTCGCCGCCGCGGTCGTCGTCACCTTCTTCGTCGCCGCCGCCTTCATCGCCGCCGCCGCCGCCAAATTTCAATCAAAACCCGCTCAAACTCAGTCACTTGACCCTTCACGGCTCACGGAGCCCATTCTAGCGAATTTTCCTCCCGGATCCAATGCTGACCGCCCTTGGGCCGAAAACTACCTTTTGGTCCGAAATGGGGGGAAAAAAGCCTCGAATCTCCTTGTCGCTTCGATGTCGTCGTCGTCGTCGTCGTCGTCGTCGTCGTCGTCGCCGTCGTCGTCTTCGTCGTCGTCTTCGTCGTCGTCGTCGTAGTCGTCGTCGGCGGCGGCGCCTCGACGGCGTCGTCCTGCACCGCGGCCCAGGGCGCGAAGACGGTGGCAGAACCTCGCGGGTGGGGCAGCGGCGTCGCGCAGCCGGGGCGGGGGGAGGTGGACGACCTGCAGGAAAAGCTTGGCTCTGCCGCGCTCCACCCCCTCCTCGCCGCGGGCCCACGGGGGACGCCCAGATCTGGGTTGCATTGGGAGACAGGACGTCTGCTCTCCTGCACTCTCACACACCCTTCCCCCACGCACTCTCACGGGTTGCCTTCGTGATGAGGGCAGCGCGGCGCAGCGCGCGCTGGTCAAGCGTCCCCGAGGACGGCCCCACGAGAGCACGGCGGGGGGGCGCCAGAGCGCCGAGCAAAATAGGTCGCTCACGCCCGCTGGCAACCATGTACGAATGGGACTCTTTGACTGGCTCCGGAACCACGTTGCAAACATCTCTCGGGGCGCATGCTCTGCTTCCGCCGCCTTCCGTCATCCTTCCGCCGGCTCCCGCTGAAGGAGTCCCTCGCTTTGGCTTCCGACACCTTCCGCCGAGCAAGAGCAACAGGCCATTCGACCCCTGGAAGGCGAGGCCTTGCTGGAGCGCCACGTTGGAGCACGCGAGAGCGCCACCCAGGGGAGGGCGAGGGCGAGGAGGGAGGCGGAGCGTGCCCCCGAGGGAAGCCCCGCGGCGATGCCAGCGCCGAGCCCGCAGGAGCACCCTCAGCACCCCGCGGCGGGGCAGCTTCGCTTCGACGTTCGCGCCTCTCGGTGACTCTACGTCGGCGCTCGGGCTGGCGCGTCCCACGCCGTGCCTGCGTGGCGCGGGCAGGCACACACTGGGCGCTTCGCAGATTCTCGGACCGGGCTCTGCCGACGCGGGGCCCACCGACGCGGGAGGGAAGGTTGGAGCAGGCAGGGCACGGTGGCTCCGCCGAGCTGCCTGACTTGACTCGTGTACCTTCTCCCACTCCTACTCGGACCCAGTTTCATCAGCAGGGCGCGGCGGACATCGCACGCGAGAGCGAAATGCCGCTCTCGCCTGAACGGCGCGCAGACGGTGGCTGGAATGTGCCTTCTCACTACGGCGGCGCATGCTTTTCGAGCGCCAAGCCCATCAGAAAGGGGAGCCCACGCGATAGAGCGAAATGGCGATCTCACCCGAGCGACGCGCAGCTTGCTCATATAAGATATGCTACCGCGCAGGCATGGCGCATGCATGTTGCTCGTCAAACCTATTGGAAGCTTGTCCATGCGGCAAGCGCACTACCATTTCTGCATGTGGAAAAAGTGCGCAATGAATATAGTGCGCACTCGCTTCGCGTCAGAATCGACGCACTGAAGCGGCAGCAAGCGCGCGAGCCATGTGGCATGCAACCAGAACACATGCGCGGCGAACCCCCCCTTACTTCAGATGTGATCACCCACATACCACGAATGCTGCGTGTTGTCCAGATCGCCGCAATCCACTCTGAATTCCTATGCGCGGGTAGCGCCACTCACACACTGGTAATTCAGAATTTCGGATTTTGTTCGGGTGTCAAGGCTGCCCTGTCCTGCCCACTCTGGCAAACGCGATCCACGCGCGGGAACTCATCCACCAACGTGGCCAAACCCTTGCTGGATTGTGTAACGTTGGCTCGATTGCTGCAAAAGGAAAGGTGGGAGTGGGCGGCGTCAACTAACTCGCTCGAGGTGCCAAATCACCTTGACTCCTCCTCCTCCTCCTCCTCCTCGTCCTCCTCCTCCTCCTCCTCCTCCTCCTCCTCCTCCTCCTCCTCCTCCTCCTCCTCCTCCTCTCTTCCTCGTCATCCCCCCTCCTCCTGCACCCCCACGACAGAAGAAAGCTCGACCCCTCCTGCGCCCACTGCCGCGGAGGAGGACGGAGGAAGGGAAGGAGAGAGGGAGAAGGTAGGACAACGAGAAGGAGGTAGGAAGGGGAGGTACGGGGGTGGGGGAGGAGGGAGGAGGGAGGATGAGGGAGGGGAAATGAGACGAAGGGAGGAAGGAGGAGACAAGGGGGAGGAGGGAGGATGGAGAAGGGAGGAGAGACAAGGAGGGAGAAGGGATGAGTAAGAGAGAGAGGGAGAGGGAGAGGGAGAGAGAGAGAGAGGGGGGGGGGGAAGCAGGAGGACGGAGCAAGGTTCTGGCCGTTTTCAAAAGCCCAGTGCTTTCACAACGTACCCGAAGGTTGCAGCGAGGGGTTCTTGGCAGGGATCGGCGGATCCTCTCAGAAGGCTTCTCGGCAGGCAGCGGGGGGGACGGGTTCCAGGGGACCCGCTGCCTTCTCAGAGGCCGCCCCGCTCGCCCCGCCCACAGCTGCGCGTCGGTGGCGCGGGCAGACTCCTGGCCAGTCGCGCGATGGGGCGGCGGGGCAGGCGAGTCACCGAGGCAGCCCGACGCTCACCGGACCGCATGCGTGGATAAGGTGGGCGCAGCAACTGAGAATCGCACGCCCACCTGGCGCAGCGAATCACCAGCGCGAGGGAAAGCTGAGCGACACGGGTCCTGGACCCGGGGCTCTCCCCGGGATCAACTGTACAGCCCAAGCTGGTTTTCCCAAGTACGCGCCCAACTATGTACATGAATACACCTCCAGTTCGCGATTCTTACGCCCCGAACGCTCGCGCACTGCCCGCATTCTATGTATACATGTATATACAGGTCGACGTGGCATACGTGCATAACTACTTACCTATATATATATATATACAGACATACATACATACATACATACATACATACATACATACATACACATACATACATACATACATACATACATACATACATACATACATACATACATACATACATACATACATACATACATACATACATACATACATACATACATACACACATACACACATACATGCATACATACACATGCATGCATGCATACATACATACATGTATGCTTACATACATACATACATACATACATACATACATGCATGCATACATACATACATACATACATACATACATACATACATACATACACACATACATACATACATACATACATACATGCATACATACATACATACATACATACATACATGCATACATACATGCATGCGAACATGCATACATACATGCATGCATGCATACATACATGCATGCATACATGTATACATACATACATAAATACATACATACATACATACATACATACATACATACATACACACATACATACATACATACTGGCATACATACATACATGCATACATGCATACATGCATTCATACATACATACATAGAATCGCATGTACATACAAGCATGCTCACACACATATACAGTGACACACACACACATCTACATATGCCCATACATGCATACATACATACGTGCACTCATACATGCGTATATGCATGCATGTATACCTAAATGCAAGCATACATACAAACACACATGCGTACACATGCGTACATACATGTATACAAGCATACGTATGCGTACACACACGCATACACACATACACACATGCACACATACACACCTACATGCATGCATGTATGCACGCATGCATGCATACATGCATACAAACATACATGCATAGATACATGCATGCATGCATACATACAACTCTGTCTCTCTCTCTCTCTCTCCCTCTCTCTCTCCCTCTCTCGCCATCCGGCTATCCCTCTCGCTGCCTATATCTATATATCCACCTCTATGTGTGTATCCGCCGCCGTGCCTGCAGCACGTAGAGGCGCGGAAGAATGCAAAGGGCTGCCTGGCAGGGATTCAATAGTCTTCTAAGGGACCTCCCCACCATCCCTCGCGCTTAGGTGACTGCACCACCCCTACTCCAAGGGGCGCCCTGGGCGGCAATGGCGCCTCCCTGGGGCTCTCCAAAACTGCCATGACGACCCAGGAGGCCTCCAAGACGGTCCAAGAGGACCCCGAGTCGCCGAACGATCGCTCGAAGACGCCCAAGATGGCCTCCAGATGGCCCAAGAGGCCTCCAAGACGCCCCAAGAGGCCTCCAAGAAGCCTCCTCAGAGGACCACAAGAGGAACAAGTTCGCTGGCCCAACGGGCCAAAGGCGTGCTAAGATCTCTGGCAACAAGTCAACACTAAACAATACAGCAAGTTCGGGCGCGCGAGGCGGTCCCTGGGAGCCCCGACGCGACAAGTACCCCGCCAAGGTCCCTGCAAGTCCCCGGCAAGTGCCCGTCAGAGATGCCGGAGGCCCCCCCAGACGGCCCAAGAGGCGCCCAAGACGGCCTCAAGAGAGCGCCCAGACGGTCCAAGAGCCCTTGGAGTCCTCGAAAGATCGGCCGACGATGCCCAAGATGGCCCCAGGACTGCCCAAGAGGCCGCCAAGACGCTTCTAGAGGCCTCGAGAGAGCCTCAAGAGGCTCTCCACGAGGGCCCCAACAAGCAAAAATCGCCCCATACCCTTCGGAAAGCATACATGTTTCGCATGTGCGACGTTTCTGGTCCTTTCAGCTTTCCAACGCTCGAAGACGGCCCAAGAGGCCCCCAAGACCGCCCCAAACCCAAGAAGCCTCCAAGAGGGCCCCAAGACAGCCCAAGATGGCCCCAAGACAGCCCAAGAGGCGCCCAAGATGGCCCAAAAGGGCCCCCAAACGGCTCCAAGAGAGGCCCAAGACGGGGACCAGGAACCGGAAAGTCCAGCCTTCAGCCCCAAGATGCCCCCAGGAGGCCCCGGGCCCCCAAGAGGCCCCAATGGGCCCCCAAGAGGCACCCCAAGAAGCCTCAAGAGGCCCCAAGAGGCCCCAACAAGGCCCCCAAGAGGACTCAAAACTGCCTACCAGAGGCCCCCAAGAGGCCCCAACACGGCCCCCAAGCGGCAGGGCAATATGGGCCGGCGGAATGAGCGAAGCGATTGAATGATTGGCTTACTCTATCGGTGTTTGAAGGATTTGGGCGTTCTCGCCTTTTCGGCCTTCCGACGCTCCCAAGCGGCCCAAGAGGCCCAAAAACCACCCCAAAACAGCCCAAGAGGCCTCCAAGAGGGCCTAGACGGCCAAAGAGCGACCCATGACGGCCCAAGAGGCGACCAAAACAGCCCCAGAGGACCCCAGGACCGCCACAAATGGAGCACAAGAGGGAACAAGACACGAGGCCCCAGGAGGCCCCAAAGGGCGCCCAACGGATCCCAAGAAACCTTCCAATAAAACTGTCTCCAAGAGGCCTCCAAGAGACTTCCCACGAGGTCCCACCGAACATCCAATAGGCTTCATACCCACAACCCGAACACGGTGGCGGGACTTGCCGTAGGCAGATTGATCGATATTCCCAAACAGTACTTGCACCTAAGGGCTCTTACTTCTTCTCTAAGGAACTGGGCCCGTAAGTTGGTCTGGCGTCTATGTAGCCGCCGTCGCCGTCCCGTCGCCGCCTCGTCGCTGCCCATCGGCTAACCACACCAGCAGCTCAGCATATATAAAAGACTGGAGCGCACAACCAGGGCTCAAGGAGGAGGAGGACAGGAGAGGCGGTGGCAATAGGCAGTCAGGTGACGATGACCCAAACCCCTGTTTTGCCACATGCTTGCCGACAGCCTGGCTGGTACTCCGCGTTTCTGCCACTGGCAAAGGCCGTCGCCGCCGCGGCGAAGCAGCCGGAAAAGGGGTGGGAGGGACCGCTGCGTGGTCCCCTGGGAGGACCAGCTTGGCTCAGAAAGGGTTGAGCCCCCGACGGAGGAGGAGAGGAGGGGAGAGAAACGGGCAAGCACCAGCAGAAGCAAGGAGACGGAAGCCCTAACCGATCTGGGGGTGTGGGTGAGACATACGTTTACTCAAACATCCTAGCCAACCACGCCAGCAGCTCAGCATAGATAAAATACTTGAGCCCACACCCAGGGCTCGCAGCCCGTCCTCGGACAGCTGCACCGCCATCGCCCTGCGCTGCTCGCTCGGGGGCACGAATGGCCCCCCAGCCGCCTGCTTCACTGCTGTCACCAGGGTGGTCGCGGCCAAGGCCTTGGCCGCCCGTCCGTCGTGTGCGGTTGCAGGCCATGGCATTCCTCGGCCAGCGCGCCGCCTCCTTGGGCTCTGTGCGCGCTGCAGCTCCTTCGTCCTCCTGCGCGAGGCTCACCCTCGGCTTGGCCAGCTCCGAGGTGTCCTCGATCTGCCATGCGCTGCGCCACGCTGCGCAGGGGCTCGTGGGCCTCCCAGGGGTACGAGTGAGATGTGTCCGAAGCCCACCCCCCAAACCTATTCACCCTCTGGGATCGCCGACGACGTGATGCATCAATGTGGCCCCGCCGATCCGCAGGCCGTAGGGCCCTACCTCCTCGCGCTTCATCCACGCGGCCAGGGCCGCCAGCAAGTGGCGCTGAACCTCCTCTCGCTTGAGGTAGTCGCCACTGGCCCACCTGAGCAGCGATTGGCCCTTCTCGCTGACCCTCAGCCGCTCAGGGAAGTGCTGCTCATAGAGCTCCTCCAGGGCCAGCACCAGGCACGGCGCCGTGCTAATGCGGCATTGATTCATCACGCAGCCCACGTTGCAGTGGTCCGTCTTCGAGCCCTCGATGTGGACCACGATCTCCACGGCGTCCATGAAGAAGGCCACGCTCTTGTCGTCCGCGTCCCAGCCTTCTGGGTCCTCGCCTTGCAGCGCGCGCTCAACGCTCCAACTCCGGTCCTGAACCAGGTACTCGGAGGCCCCCAGCATGAAGAAGAAGGCGAAGTTGAGCGCCAGCCACAGCACCGCCGCGTCCGGGGCGTTGAGCTCCGCCCTGCCCGGATGAAGTGCTTGAGCCAGAGGAGCATCCGTGGGGTCACCGGCTTCTTGCGGCCACTGGGCCTTTGCCACCGCTGTAGCCCGGCCAGAGTCGACCAAAGGCGGGCCCCGTGGAGCAACGGGTCGCCCTACCCCACCACCAAGTGCGCATACCTGATGGCGAAGAGCTTCTGCTTCACCGTCCCAACCGTGGGCCCGAGGACCCTGGCCAGGACGATCACGAAGTCGATCAGGGCATCTTCGTCTAGCTTGCGCTCAGCCCGGTCCCGCCCTTCCAACCAGGACGATCCCTGCTGGACACTGCGACATGCCTGCCATTGCCTCTACCCGGCGCCATATCCTTCGCGCGTGCCCTCACTCAGGCGCTGCATGAGAGCCTCCCGTCGCTGCTCGTCGAACCACTTCGCGTAGTCCGCCCCCCCGAGCGCTGGCTTGTCCGCCATGGGGGGCGCCGCCCGGCCGAGCCCCAGTGTTCGGGGCGTCACCAGCGGCGGTTCGGGTGGCGCTGGTCGGCGTTGGCGCTTGCGCGCGGCTTTCTTTCGGGGATCTTCTGACCCGGGTCAATCCAGACCCGGGTCAGCAGGAAACCAAAAACTGCAATGCAGGAAAAAAAAACTGCAACGCAGGTCTTCGCAAACCCGGGTCAGCCAATACGCGCGGCCGCCTCGCGGCCACGAGCGGCTCCCAAACCCGGGTCAGCCAGAGGGAATCTTCGCAGGATCCTGCAGGATCTGGCGCCCTGGCTGACCCCCGTCTGGATTGACCCCCGTCTCGAGGCTCCCGATTCTTGCTGTGGCGCTGCTTCCCGGCCTCTGGCGGCTGAGCGGCTTCCAGCTCCACCGTGCGGGGGTCGGGGGGGCCCGACGGTCCCTGGACCAGGTTATCCTCGATCTGTCTGAACTCACTCATTGGCTCTTGTTGCGTGCCTTGTGCGCCTCGTCGGATAGGACACCGGCCTTCCGGTCCGTTTCACCTTCTGGCCCTTCCAGGGCGGCGGCCTCACAGGCGCGCGCGGCCTCGCGGGCCTCAGCCCAGGACCTTAGCCAGCGCTTCGTAGCCTCCCAGGCCGCTGCTTCCGTCGAGTGGCACCCACCCACCTTCGGCGAGTCGTCGCCCACAGCGCTGGCCACCGCCTCGAGCAGCGCGTTCGCCGTCTCCTTGGGCAGCGACGTCGCAGCTTCCTGGAGCAGGGAATCCACTCCTGCATCCGCTTGACGTCGGCGATCCCACTCCCATTGCGTACCTCCTTGTGTCAGCCAGATCTCCTGGGCGCTCAGGGCGCGGACCTGGCCTTGCCCTCCTCCAGGGGCGTGAAGCAGTACACCGCCTGGCCCCCAGAGGGAGCTCCACCGAAGGCGATGCTCACATCAACGGCACCCGCAACTGCGTATGGTTGGGTCCTCCGCCAGGATCATACTCCATACGCGGTCCCCGAAAGTCTCGACCCTTTCCCTGGGGCAGGTTTTTCATTCCGAGTCGTTGTGTGACGGTCGCGGGGGGCTCGGCGAGAGCCCCCAGAGGCCCAGGACTAGGAAACCGTGAAAATCTTCAGCCCTGCGTCCTCACTGATGACGCTGCAGGCCTGCGCTTGTCTTGGACCGAGCCTCGAGCGCTGGGGGCTCCTCGGACCACTTTGCTTACGGGATCGGCATCGACTACGGGACTGGAGTTTGGTCGGGTCTGTCCCCCTACAGGGAAATTGTGGGCGAAAAATCAAAAATACCCCCAAATGCTCCAAAATATTCAAAAAATTGTCCCTGGATTATCTTTGGACGAATTATCTTCGAATATCCCTCCTGTCGAGGGACAGGCCCGACTTAAGACTGGAGACGGTCTTGGAACCCCGGAGGCCCCTGTCGCCCGAGACATCCTCGGAGAACGACCCGCGTCCCAAACCCGTGCGGTGACCCCCGAATCCCCACCGACGCAGCGCACGGTGTGGTCACCACCCCGTCTGGGGACCCCCGATGGAGGGAGTTCGGCCGGGCCTGTCCCCCATACAGGGAGATTTTTTTTGGCGAGAAATCAAACATACTCCCAAAATGCTACGGAACAATACTCAAAAAATTGCCCCCAGACTATCTCTGGACTCGTTTGGGATATCCCTCCTGTAGAGGGACAGGCCCGACTTCAAAAACTGGAGGCGGAAGCGGAGCGCCCCGGCGGCCGCCCCCCGGCGGGAGCCGCTGGCGAACGGCAGGCAGTAGGCGCGGACCTGCGGCTCCCGCTCCCGCGGGTCCCCGAAGCGCACGAGCGCGCGCGGCGGGGGCGCCTGCCGGCACCGAGAGGGGGCGGGCCCTCGGTCTCTCCGGGGCCGCGGGGAGGAGGAGGAGGAGGAGGAGGAGGAGGAGGAGGAGGAGGAGGAGGAGGAGGAGGAGGAGGAGGAGGAGGAGGGGAGAGGAGAGGCGGAAGGGGAGGAGGAGAGGAGGAGGAGGGGGGAGGAGAGGAGGAGGAGGCGGAGGGGAGGAGGAGGAGGAGAGGAGGAGGAGGAGGAGGGGAGGAGGAGGAGGAGGAGGAGGAGGAGGAGGAGGAGGAGGAGGAGGAGGAGGAGGAGGAGGAGGAGGGAGGAGGAGGAGGAGGAGGAGGAGGAGGAGGGAGGATAGGGAGGAGGAGGAGGGAGAGGAGGAGGAGGAGGAGGAGGAGGAGGAGGGAGGAGGAGGAGGAGCGAGGGGGAGGAGGAGGAGGAGGAGGAGGAAGAGGCGGAGGAGGAGGAGGAGGCGGCGGGGGGGGAGGGGGAGACAAAACCACACTAGATCGTGAAGTTCCGTTTCCAGCTCTTCTCTCTCTCGGGGGGGGGTGCAATCATGACCGGCGGCATGTGCGCGGCTCAGCGGGGGGGGCCAGGGACGTAGTGGAGTAAGAAGTGGCGCCACGAAATCTGAGGAAATAGCATGGCCCCCGCCATGATATCCACCCCCGCCCGTAGTCACCGCCCCCCTCTTTGCCGCTCCCGATTCACGGGGGCTGACACAATCGACGCGTCTAATACAGTCGAAACACTGCCATAAGGAACCCTAAAGAAGGAACGGAGCCCCTTTCTTCCAGAAGTGAAGCTTTGCTTCCCCATCGAAGACCCAAGGAAAAACCTCAAACGAGCTGCCAAACGGTGGAGGAACACGGCGCCCCTTCCCAGCGAACAGGGTTCCCTGTTCAGCGCCCCGACCGTCAGGATGCGCGGTCAGGCTGCAGGCCCCTCGGACGCCTCAGTGTGTGTGTGTGTGTGTGTGCTCCTGGAGCGAACGTGCTTCGCCCCCCGCCACACTGTATTAGGGGGCAACACACACTTACCTCGCCTTTGACCACCCTCGCTTCCAAGATATACCAAGCGATGCCAAACTGCGGCATGTACTGGCCAGGCCGCTTGACGAGGAGGCGTATGGTATGCCTTGGTTTTGCCTGGAAGCGAAAGCGGGGCAGGTAATTCACGCTCTGATGCATGGCCCCCCCCGCGGTACGCCGCGCCCGCGGTGGAGGCCGGGCTCGGGCCCTGGAGGACCCCCCGAAACCCCGCTCTGTCGGCAGGGGGCCGGAGAGGCCATGCGGCGCGCCGCGGGGGAGGCGTGCAGGCGTTGTCTGCCTTCTTATGGCTTGACTTACCAGCCTCGAACGTATCCCTATCCCTAAGATTGACACGCCAAAAGGCGATGACAATCTCAGGGATTCGCCCTCAAAAAATAAGGGAATCCCTAAGATCGGCATCGTGATGAGGAGGTGCCCAGCATGAGGATAGGGATACGTTCCAGGCTGGTAATGGTGGGGTGCACTGAAGAGGGGAAGGGGGAAGGGAGGGCAGACGGGCGGCGTGCCGAGGGGGAGAGCGAAGAGGAGGCGGGCCACGCTCAGGCGGCAGCAGGGATTCCCAGAGGCCCCCCGGACTTCTCAGAAGCCCCCCTCCTCCTCCTCCTCCTCCTCCTCCTCCTCCTCCTCCTCCTCCTCCTCCTCCTCGTCCTCCTCCTCGTCTTCCTCCTCGTCCTCCTCCTCGTCCTCCTCCTCGTCCTCCTCCTCCTCCTCCTCCTGGCTCCGGGGAAATCTTCGAGAGCTTCTCGGAAGGCCAGGGGCCCTCGCAGCCTTCTGAGAAGGCCCGCCCCCTTGAAGGGAGAAGAAGAAAGGAGCGGACAGCAAGATGCAGCCGTAGAGCAGACATGCGGGTAGTTGTAAACTTAGATAGGGCCTGACCCCCTAAAACTACTCAACAAATATTCAAAAGATGCCCCAACATACTCCAAAAATACGTCTCAGACTATTTTTTACTATGCTTTAATGTTCCCCCTGTAGAGGGACAGGCCCGACGTAGTTATAAACGCTTGCCAGGCCGAGTCGCCTCGAACGGCGGCTCTACCGAGCCACCAGAGGGGCCACCCAAACACCACCGCACCCAAGAGGAGAAGCGAGGGACAGCCGACTCAGGCTGAAGTGGTCGCGAGGTGTCCTGGGGTCCGCGCCTGGACAGAGATGGCCACGGGATGTTCGGGGTGGGGTTCCGCGGCCCGCCCGAGGAAGATCGGGCAAACGCTCTTTTCCGAGCTCGCTGGGGCCAGCGCACGTCGCGCGACCAGTGACGAACGGGTGGTCCCCTGAGAAGCAGAAAGGGCCAGCAGCGATGAGCGCGCGACGCACGCGGACACCAGGGTCGGCCGCAAGGCAACCTGGCCCCCACAGAGAGAGCTGCTGCTCTCTGCCGTGAGGCTATCGGTCGATGCCAAGCCCCTGGATTGGGCAACCACATGTCACCTCACCAGTGCAGGTCAGACTTCTGGAAAACCGGCTGGGTTCAGAATGTGGAGAATCTCTGCAGCCTTGTGAACCCAAGCGGGGGTATCCAACAACCCAGCGTCAATTGGAGCCGTGGGGGGTAGGATTCGCACGTGTTCGCAGATGGCTACGCCAGCGTTGTCTTCTCTGGGAGAGTCTTCTGCTCTTACTCTCGGCGCTCTCCGCCAGGCTTCCGCCCACGAAGCAACCGTGGACGTACCTCCGATAGCTTCCGCCGAGGGCGCGATGTCAACTTCTCGACCCCTCGGGGGCGAGGGTGCCCTACTGGCACCTGGCCTTGGAGAGAGCAAAACTCACACGCACGCGCGTTCAAGGTGGCAAGCACACCTGGGAGGGTCTCCGTGGGCGCGTTTGGGAGTGAGGAGGTGGGATCGGTAAGCAACCGAGCTGCACTGGGCCGGACCCAAGTAGACCGGCCACCTGTGAAGCCAGAGTAAGCCGAACCAGGCCAGACCAGCCTGGGCCAGGGCCGCGGAGGCACCCGGGGGCCGACGACAACTTCACCCTCCCAAGAGCTGCAACCTCACGCATGGGCGCGGGCGCCCCGAAGGCTCAGGTCTCCGAAGCCTCCAGAGCCCGCGCGCCCCCACCCCGCCTTCGGCAGCCGCTTGAGGCAGACAAAGCGCCAGCACGTGAAAGCAGCTCGGCGCCCAGTCCCCGAGGAGGACCTCCCCTCCACCCACCCCACCGCCCCTCCTGCCCCTCCATCCCCTGCCTCCCCTCCCTCCCTCCCTCCCTCCCGATTACCCCCCACCGTTTCTGTACGAGGCCCGCTCCAGAGACCTTGCATTCAGTCGGGCGCGTCCCCTTACAAGGGGGATGGATTTTCGACGAAGCATTAGGAATATTCAAAAAATCTCCTAAATGATCAAAAAAAATACTTGGAAAAATAGTCCCCTGACTATTATTTTTGAATATTCCTCCGACTTAAGCCTAGATAGAACAATGGCACCTCTTGGGGGTGGCTGGGGGGGGGGGGGGGGGGGCATCGCTCCCTTCCGCATCGCTCCCTTCCGCCGCCTTCCGCCTGCGGGGCCGCCCTCGCCGCGCTTCACCCCCGGGCCTTCCGCTGGCCTCCGGCCAGGGAGCACGCGCCCACCTCCCGATCCCCCTGGAAGTGGGGGGGAGGCCCTGCTGGAGGGCGCCTCGCGCCCCTCCCCTGGCGCGCCTCCCTGAAGGGGCCCAGGGACACACACACACACACACACACACACACACACACACACAACTAAATAGACACGAATCCCAGGGTTCCCCATATCTTTCCATGTTCTTTGGGAGTTTCGTCTCCCCCCCACTTCCCCTCTTTTCCCAAATGTTCTGGTCGACGATGAATATTGTGTGTGTGTGTGTGTGATTCACCCCCTCCTTACGCACGTCTCCCTGCGGCGCGGCACATCCCGGAGTGCCCTCGGACCAGAGCCTCGAGGCGGCCCTGGACACGCGGCGACGAGGGCGCCCCCCATGGGGGCCCACAGACGTCGGAGCCCCTGCAGGAGCCTCGATCTCCGACCCTCGGACCTCGGTCGAGGAGGAGGAGGAGGAGGAGGAGGAGGAGGAGGAGGAGGAGGAGGAGGAGGAGGAGGAGGAGGAGGAAGGACGACGACGGCGGACGCTCGCGCCTGGGCCGCCGCCGCGGCGGGGGCGCCGCGGACGCAGCCAGCGGGCATTGGGTCCTCGCAGCTGTCCACGTACGGCGAGCTCTCCGGGTTCACCTCCCCCGCCCCGCCCCCCAAGGGAGGCGGCCTGCTGCTGCCGGGAGAGCAAGGGAATGTAGCCAGGAGGAGCGGGAGCAGGGATGAGCCCGAAGACGGGCCAAGAGGGCCCCACGAGGCCCCCAAGACGGTCCACGAAGGCCCCGAGTCGCCGAAGGATTATTCCAAGACGCCCAAGAGGGCCTCAAGATGGCCCAAGAGGCCTCCAAGACGCCCCAGGAGGCCTCCAAGGGGAGGGCCCCAAGAGGCCAAAATCCATGATTTTCCTCAGGTTTGGGGGACGTTGGTGTTCTCGCCTTTTCGGCTTTCCGACGCTGCAAGAGGCCCCCAATACCACCCCAAAGCGGCCCAAGAGTCGTCCAAGAGGGCTCCCAGACGGCCAATGAGCACCCCAAGACGGCCCAATAAGCGCCCAAGAAAGACGGCCCAAGAGGGCCCCAAGACGGCCCCAAAAGGGGCCCAAGAGGGAACAAAAAACTAAAATCCGAGCCTTCCGCCCCAAGAGGCCCCCAGGAGGCCCCAAGAGGCGCCCAGGAGGCTTCAAGAGGCCCCCCAAGAGGCCGCCAAAAGGCCCAAAAGAGGCCCAAGTCCCCCAAAGCGGCCCCCAAGATGCCTCCAAACTGCCTCCAAGAGGCACCCCACGACATCCCAACGAACACCCAATAGGCTTCATACTCACAAGCCAGACACGGTGACGGCCGCCAGCACTCGCCTCCCCAGGCACAAGCCAACCAACCTTCCTTCTTCCTCCCTCCTCCCTCCTCTTTCCCCCTTCGCTCCCTTCTTCATCCTCCTTCCTCCTCTCCCTCCTTCTTCCCTCCTCCCTCCCTCCCTCCCTCTCTCCCGCTCCCTCCCCCCCCAGGGCCCCGCCCAGAGCGACGTCGGCTCGAACGAGTAGCCGGGCAGCCGCAGCTGACGCGGCGGGCTCCGCTCCGGTGAGCCCAGCACTGCGAGGCCGCCAGTTTTCGGCCAGAGGCGGGGAGGACGAGGATCGAGGAGGACCCCCTGCCCCCCTCGCGTCGAGAAAAAGCACGACCGAGGGGCCGTTGGCTTGCCATTTTCGGACCCTGGGGAGCCCTTGCCAGGTCCTGGGGCCGCCGAGAAACGGCGCTGGGAAGGGGTCGAGACCTCTGGGGGAGCGCGTTTCACGGGCGCGTGCCTTCGGAACACTCGGCGGCACGATTGAACCGGGGGGAGGGGCCCGCCCCCCCCCCGACTTTCGGCGCCGTTGCACAGAACCAGAGGGACTTGGGCGCCCGAGTTATCCGGGGTAACTCGGGTCCGGGGTAACTCGGGTTTGGATCCCCGCAAAAACGAACCCGAGTTAGCCCTGACCTGAGTTACCCCTGATGATTTGGGGTTCTGGACGCCCGAACTACCCAAGGTAACTCGGGTCCGGGGTAACTCGGGTTCGGAATCCCGAAAAACGAACCCGAGTTAGCCCTGACCCGAGCTACCCCTGCTGATCCGGGCTCGGAGGGACTTCCCTCCCCCCTCGCCCCCCGTCCCCGAACCCCCCTCTCCGGCGCCGGCCCCGGCACGCCAGCGCCGGCCGCGGCGGCGGCGGCGGCGGCTGGCAGCACCGACGCTCACACCGACGCCCACGCCCGCACCCACGCCCACGCCCGCACGCCCACGCCCACGCTCACACGCACGCCCACGCCCACACCCGCGCCCCCGCCGACGCCCACGCCCACGCCCACGCCCACGCCCACGCCCACGCCCACGCCCACGCCCACGCCGGCGCCCACGCCGACGCCCACGCCGACGCCCACGCCCACGCCCACGCCCACGCCCACGCCCACGCCGGCGCCCACGCCGACGCCCAAGCCCACGCCCACGCCTAGGCCCACGCCTAGGCCCAGGCCCACGCCCACCGGCGCAGCCCCAGGGGGCGGGGGGTTCGAACCCCCCCCCTCTTGAACTGGAGGGAGGGGGGGAGCGGTTCTGGATCCCCCCTCCAAACGCCCACAGAACGCGCTCTTTCAGACCTCTGAGGATCAATGTTGTTAAAAACAAACGCACACACACAAACGCACACACGCACACGCACACACACACACACACACACACGCACACACACAAACGCACACGCACACACACACACACACAGACACACACAGACACACACAGACACACACACACACACACACACACACACACACACACACACACACACACACACACACACACACACGCACGACGCTAGGGGTCTGGTCTGGCCCCTGGAGGACCTCCAGAAGCCTTCGGAGGACCTCCTTTGGAGATTTCGACCGGAGACCCCCTGAGACCTCCAGAGATCTCGTGCACGGGCATGGCGCAGGCGGCAGGAGCCACCAGTCAATGTAGGGAGCAGGCTCCCAGGACGCAAACCACCATCTCGCCCACTCGCACGCCCAAAGGCTCAGCATCAGCCACGATCATCGTCCACTGACAGCCGTGGATAGCCAGTGTGGACGCCAGGTGCACCAGATCCGCCATGAGCGCCAGGAGACTCGGGCGCGCCAGGAGCGCCAAGCCGAGTGCGTCAGGTGCGGCAGGCGCGCCCGTGTGACGGATGCGAGTGCTTCAGCGTCGAGTTTTCGCCCACATTCTGGCGAATCACTGCTGGAAACAGGAGAAACGTGCCACGCGCCTGCGCGTTGCACCGACACTTGCGTCACTCGAGCCGGGTCGATCCTTGAGATCCCTTGGACCCGAAACAGGGCAGCGAAGCCCATCGTGAATGGTTCAACGACGCCCAAATTTCAGGGTCTCACCCCGCCGCGCTCGACTGCCGAAGAAAGAAAGCAGCGTCCTGTGGTGTGCAGCGCGGACCAGTCGACTGAGCACCCCAGCTCCCACAGCCTCGCGAGCGACTGCAGGAAGGCCGCGACGTCGTGGGTCGCCGACTCCAGGAGGGGGCAAAGTGTAGGGAAAGGAGGAGGAGAAGGATGAGGAGGAGGAGGAGCAGGAAGAGGAAATGAAGAAGAAGAGGAGGAGGAGGAGGGAGGCGGAAGGAGGAGGAGGGGAGGGAGGGATGGTGGGTGGCACCAGCTATGTACCTAGATCCTTGCAAGGCTAGTCCTGGGCCTGGGACCCGTGGATACGCACGACTGCCCTGGCCAGGAAGGCGCATACACCGATCCTGGGAGCAAGCCTGGCCAGACTCGGCACACGTGAGCGAACAGCTGGCGCCCCCTCTTGGAGAGGGTGGAGGGGCGCCAAGCCTGCGACTCTCGATTTCGTCTGGGGCACGAGCCCCTGGACCTCTCGACCACTTGCCCGTGGCCGGCTCTCCATCCTGGCTCGTCTTTTGGCGGCCCCCCAGGGCACGAAGCAGGCTCCTGGAGGCTCAAAAGGGCGACAAGGCAGCCGCCTCGACACGTTCCGAGCGAGCCACTGGACGTCTGGGGAAGTGGGGGGAGGGGAGGGGGAGCAGGGATCAGGGAGGGCCAGAACAAAGGGGGGGGGCACGCGTAGGGGCAGGAGGCCACTAGGCGGAGGAGCCAGCCAGCACCTTCGACCGCGCGCACCTTCGAGTCAGCCAGCTTGGTAGCCATCTCCAGGGAAAAGCCTCATTGGTGCGCACCTCCCAGCCGGCCAACATAACGGGACGCCTTAAGGGGGGTCCAGCCCTGAGAGAGGCTAAACCACTTGCCAGGGGAGGCCCGCTGAACGAGCTGTTCATACTCATCTCCCACCAGCTCCTGCTCGTCAGTCCTCCTCCTCCTCTTCCTCAACCTCATCCTGCTCTCAATATCCTTGACCTCCACCTCCTCCTCCTCCTCCTCCTCATCATCATCATCAGAAGCAGCAGAAGCAGCAGCAGCATCAGCATCAGCATCATCATCATCATCATCATCATCATCATCAGCAGCAGCATCATCATCATCATCATCATCATCATCATCATCATCAGCAGCATCATCAACATCATCATCCTCATCCTCATTCTCATCCTCATCCTCATCCTCATCAGCCACATCATCATCATCATCATCATCATCAGCATCATCATCATCATCATCATCATCAGCAGCATCATCATCATCATCATCATCATCATCATCATCATCATCATCATCATCATCATCATCATCATCATCATGATCATCATAATGATCATCATCAGCATCAGCATCATCATCATAATCAGCATCATCATCAGCATCATCATCACTACCATCATCATCATCAGCAGCAGCATAATCAGCATCATCATCATCGTCATCGTCATCGTCATCGTCATCAGCATTAGCGTCATCATCATCATCATCATCATCATCATCATCATCATCATCATCATCATCATTAACGTCATCATCATTATCAGCATCGGCATCATCAGCACCAGCATCATACTCGTCATCATCATCACCATCAAGATTATCATCAGCATCGTCATTATAATCATCATCAGCATCACCATCACCATCACCATCATCATGATCATCATCATCGTCGTCGGTATCTTGATCATCACCAACATCATCATCACCATCATCATCACCAACAGCCTTGACATCATAACCGTCAACACCATTATCATATCACAACGACCATCATCATCATCATCCTCACCATCATCATCAGCATCATCAACATCGTCATCATCATCTTCATGTTCAGATTCATCTCCATCTACATCTTCATTCATCTTCTTCCTCACCACCACCATCATCGGCAGCATCCCAATCATCAGCACAATCCTCATCATCATCACCATCATCATCAACAACATCAGAATCATGATCGCGATCAGCATCATCACCGGCATCAACATCATGATCACGATCAGCATCAGCACATCATCATCATCAGCATCAGCATTACCAGCATCATCATTATTGCCATCATCATCCTCGTCATCGTCATCATGATCAGCATCATCGTCAGCATCATTATCATCAGCAGCATCATAATCATCATCCCCATCATCATATCATCATCACCTGCATCTTCAGTAAAATAATGATCATCAGAACCATCCCCATCATCATAATCACAATCAGTATCGTCATCATCATCATTACCATCATCATCACCATCATCACCACCGACATTATTTCCATCACCAGCATCATTATCAGCAGCATTGACATCATCAGCATCACCACCACCACCACCACCACCACCACCATCATCATCATCATCATCATCATTAACTACAGCATCCTCATCATCATCATCCTTACCATTAGCATCATCATGATCAGCATCATCGGCATCATCAGCATCATCCTTATCCTTATCCTCATGCTCATCCTCATCAGCCACATCATCATCATCATCATCATCATCATCATCAGCATCATTATCATCATCAGCATCATCACCATCAGCATCATAATATTCATTATCAGCATCATCAGCAGCATCATCATCACCATCATCACCATCATCATCATCATCCTCATCATCATCATGCTCCTGTTCATGATCCTGATCCTCATCATCCTCCTCTTCCTCATGGTCATCCTGCTCAATTCGCTCGCTCGCTCGCTCACCCGCTTACTCCTCGTCCTGCGTCTCCTCGACCTCGTAGCGTCTGCGTCGGATCGGCTAGGCTTAGTGTACCGCCAGAAACCGGCGGCCTCCGAGTCGTCCGGAGATCCCCTCCTGATCCCTCCTCTTCGTCCTCCTCTTGCTCCTACAATTTTCTGTTTCTCCACCTCCATCTTCATTCTCTTCATCACCATTACAAGCAGTAATGTCTGTTAATATTTGCACCAAAACAATCTGGGGGGACAACTCAAAAGTAATTAGCTATTTCCAGCGCTGTAGCGCGCATATAGAAAACAACAGGTGGTGCAAACTGGACCGTCAGAGACGTCCCCGCGACCGCCATCTTGAGGCCATCTTGGGCATCTTGGAGCGATCTGTGGCTGTCTTGGAGGCCTCTTGGGCCGCTCTTGGAGCTCTCTTGGCGCCTTCTAGGGGGCGTCTTCAGCCTTCTAGCGCAAACCCAGCGCGCTCCTTGGGCCCTGGAGCCCCCATGGCGCGTCGAGGGGTCGCCCTGGGAGCCACCAGCCCTGTCCCCCGATATAGATACATCTATATATATATACATATATATATATACACATATATACACACACACAAACATGCATCGTTCCGGTCTCGGTGGAATATTTTCCAGGGGGAATTAGAAGAATGATTATTCGGCGGCGAATTAATGGCAATCGGGATCCGGGGGAGAAGGGGGGGTAGCATTTTTAAACAGGATTTGGACTTGATCATCAACATATTCATCTCCAGTGCCATCATCAAACTGCACCTCCCCACTCCACCCAACTCCCTCACTATCCCTCGCACTCCTTCCTCCTCCTCCTTCCGCAGATCGTGCGTCTCCTCCGCCATCTCCTCCTCCCCCCTCGTCCTGCTTCTGATTATCCTGCATCTCCTCCTCCTCCTCCTCCTCCACCTCCTCCTCATCGTCCTCGTCCTCCGCTGCTCCTCTTGTTCCTTCTCGTCCCCTTCCTCCTCTCACCCACCTCTCCCCCTCGGCCTCACAGCTGCCCACGCCGTCAAAACTCGTGATCAGCAAATCGCCGCCGAAACCACCTCCAACATTGTAATGAAGACAGTCCCCCCCTCCTCGCCGGCACTATCACCGCTAAAGTAGCGGCAGCATGTCACTCCCGTCACCGTCCCTCATCGTCGCCATCAACGTCGCGTCGTCGTCGTCCTCACTTCCATCATCGTCACTCCCGCTCTAGCTCGCGGCTCCCTACCCAGGGACCAGTGCTCCAGAGAGACAACTATCGGGTTCGAAAGATGAGGTTGGGAAGATACGGGGCACGACTGTGTAATAAAGCACACTCGGCATACGCGATGATACGGATGATCTGGTCATCTCTCCCAGCCCCATCCTCCCGACCCGATAGTTGTCTTTCTGAGTGTGTCGTCCCGAGCCTTCGTGTCGAGGGGCCCCTGAAACCCGCGACTCCCGCCCAAGGACTGGGGCTCCGTCCCGAGCAAGTCTTCTGACGGTCCCGAAGCCCGAGGCAAACCCCAGGACGCCGAAGACGCGGAAGGAACAGCAACAAAAATTGCCTCGACGTGTCTGCGCCGGCCGGATCTGCTGGATCCTCGCCGCTCAATTGCGCGAGGAGGCGCCTGGCGCGGCGAGGCCCAGGGGCTCATGAACGTCCTCGCCGTCGTCGCTGTCGCCGTCGTCGACGTCCGGTTGGGCGTCGTCGCCGTGGTCACGGGCACAATCCTCGCGGCTCCGAGGGGGGCGACGCTCGCGACCCTGAGCAAGTACGTGCTGGGGGCAGTGCTCCCCTGTCCTCTTGCACGCCCGTCGTCATCAGTCCCAGCACAGCCCCGCAGAGGACAAGACGTTGGCCCATACTCTTATCGTCCGATTTGACTGTCTCAACTTGATCAGGGCGAGAGGCCAGCAGCCTCCTCGGCGTCGTCGCTGCCGTCATCTGGCACCGCCCGCGGCGGGAGGAAGCACCGTGGCGGGCGCGCGTGGAGGCCTTGGGGTGCCGCATCGCCTGCACGAACTCGGGGGCCACGGCGCCAGCCGCCACGCACTGGGCGCGCAACGAGCTCGTCGTCGTCGTCGTCGTCGTCGTCGTCGGAGTCGTCGTCGCAGTCGTGGCCGTCACCGATTCAGAGAGTTGGGCCGTTTCTGGAGTTCCATGTCGCCACGGCTGGACGCGGCTCGAAGACTCCACCCCTCCTCGCCACGCCACCGATTAAAATTCGCTCGGGACCGCTAACTGGGCCCCTCGCCGGGTCCAGCCTCAGAGGAGGAGGAGGGTAAGGAGGAGGAGGAGGAGGAGGAGGAGGAGGAGGAGGAGGAGGAGGAGGGGGGGTAAGGAGTAGGGTAAGGAGGAGGAGGAGGGAAGGAGGAGGAGGAGGGCAAGGGAGGAGGAGGGGGAGGAGGAGACTTGGCAACGCGTATTGCACGACGGAAGGGGGCAGCGGGGGGGAGGGGGGCACGGCGAGGCACGACCAAAACACGTCCGGCTCCACGCAGGTGGGGACCCACCTGCGCGACGCTCCGGCCCCGCGTGCCTGCACGGCGGGGCGGGGTCTCGAGAAGACGGCGGGGGTGAGGGGAGGGAGGGGCGGGCGTGGGGGGGAGGATGGGGGGAGGGTGGGGGGATGGAGGGGGGGGGATGGACGGGGGGGGGATGGAGGGGGGGTCGGGAGGGGGGGACGGGTTCCGGACGGCCAGGAGCCCACCAAGATGTCCGAAGTTGGCTCGAAGCCGGCCCAAGACGGCCCAAGAGGCCTCCAAGAGGGTCTCCAGGGAGGAGGAGCCCACCAAGATGTCCGAAGTTGGCTCGAAGCCGGCCCAAGACGGCCCAAGAGGCCTCCAAGAGGGTCTCCAGGGAGGCCAGAAAAGGCCAAAAACGCTGATTTACCCTGGGTTCTTGAAGGATTTTGGCATTGGCTTCGTTTCGGCCCTCCGACGGCCCTCCGACGCGCTGGACCACCCTGGCGGCGCCTCCAGCGCCGCCCCTGGCGCGCTCCGCGCGCCAGGGCGAGGGTCCAGCGCCGATCCGAGAAATCCGCGCGGACCTGCGAGTTTTCATGTTTATGCCATTTTTCGTTCCCCTAGGGAGGGGGGAGGGGAGGGGGGAGGGGGGAGGGCCAAATGCCATGCAGGTAAACTCGAGGGAGTCGAAACTACAGACGCCCTCCTCTCCCAGGTGCGCCCCGCCCGCGGCGCGAGACCTCGAGCGCTCGACGACGCAGTCGGCCGACAGCGACTCGGTCGGCAGGGCCTCTGGAGGCCTTCGGAGACTGGCCGGAGGCACATGCCAAGAAGGCCCATGCCAAGAGGGGCCTTCTTGGTCAGCGTGCTCAGGCTGTTCATCGGCCCGACCTCGAGGACCGCCGCTGGCTTCCACTGGGCCAGCAGCTTCTCGGCGTTCTCCCGCCACCGCACCTCGGCCGAGAGCGCCGGCGGTGGATGGGTGAGGGGGCGCCCAGGGACGCGGCGCGAAAGGCAGCAGGAATCTCACGTCTGAAGAATGATTATGGAATCTCACGTCTGAAAAATGGTTATTGTTGATCGTCCCCATCCAGTGCCCATTTCGTGTTTCAATTTAAGTGCCTCTCCTGGGGCTCGCACCCTCGTTTTTTCACAGAGGAACGTTTTGGGCCTCAGATTGGGCCCAGGTATACAACAACAGCGGCTCCCGCCCGATACATACTTCCGCACAACTTCTTCTGAATCGTGCTCTCGCGCGGGACATCTTCACAATCTCTTCAGGACTCGCGTTCTCGTGCGGGACTTCCTCGCCATTCGCTGAGACGCCGCGCCCTCGACACTCAGGAATCACGCTCCCGCCCTGGACTTCCGACCGATTTGCCTGGGAATCGCGCTGTCGCTCGAAGCTTCGCGCGGACTGACGCTTCCACGACCCGCCCGCTCGACACGACCGTCTGGGTCTGCCTGCCCGACCCGCCCGTCGGGCTCTGCCGCTTGATTTCCTGCCTCTAACCCCCCTCCTGCAAATCTCTCTCGTGCTCCATCCTTCTCCCGTCCCCCTTTGTGCCCTGCCATCCCTCCCCTTCCTTCCTTCCCCTGCATGCGGGGCTGCGTCAACTGAGCGTGGCAGGTAAGGAAGATGTGCCCCCCACAGGGGCACGGTCAAAGACGAAGACGGTGGGTGCCGAGGGGTCGGGTTGTACATGTTGAGTGACACGCGAGCGAACAAGCCCGAGCAATGAAAAACATTATCGTTGTTAGTGTTGTTGCTGTTGCTGCTGTTGTTGTTGTTGCTGCTGCAGTTGTTGGTGTTGCTGCTGTTGTTGGTATTGTTGCTGTTGTGGTTGTTGGTATTGTTGCTGCTGTTGTTGTTGTTGTTGTTGTTGGTGTTGTTGTTGGTGTTGTTGTTGTTGGTGTTGTTGTTATTGTTGTTGTCCTTGTTGGTGTTGCTGTTGCTGTTGTTCTTGTTGCTGTGGGAAACCCGCCTCGGAGCGCGTGCGCCCTGAGCGCCTCCTGTGGCGATCGGTCCGCGGGGCCGTGGCCCCTTCGGGAGGCGCCCGCCCGGGCGTGCTCCTGGCGGGCGCCGCGCGCTCTGCAGGCTGGGCAGCGCCGCGGGATCGTCAGCGGCGCGGAGAGGTGCTAACCAGCCTCGAACGTATCCCTATCCCTAAGATGGGCAAGCAAAAAGCGAGGACAGTCTTAGGGACAGTCCCTCAGAAACGGAGGGAATCCTTAAGAAACGGAGGTGATCTCAAACATAGGGATAGGGATATGTTTCGAACTGGTAAGATGCGGGGCGCTCCGGCTCCGGACGCGGCACCCACGGGCCCACCCGCGGCAAAATGTAGGCCCGAGCGACCAGAGAAGGTCCTGCAAGAGATCCTGGGGCCCGCCGTGAGCTTCGTGGGGTGTCCCTGGGCTCCGCGGGCGCATCCGAAGCGTAGAAATCATCGCGGGGCACCCGTTGACAAGCCAGGCTCATGTGTGGTGCGCCTGCTGTGCTCTGACAGCCCTCCAGCGCCAAAGGCTCCGCCACGATCACCTTCCACGAATACCACGACAAGCCAGCGCCCACATCGATGAGCATCGCCTGGTTGGGCCGCCTCCCTCCCGAGCCATCTTCTGTGATGTGTGTTCGCTTCTGCGTGCGTGTCCGAGCCCCGCTTGGGCGCTCTTTCTCGTTGCGCAGTCGCCAGTCTGTAAATTAGCGCGCTCTTCGCATAGCCACCGTCGAACGAACAAACAACTCCCTCCCTCCCTCCCTCCCTCCATCTTCCCTCCCTGACTCTATCCTTCATCCCTTCCTCCCTCCTTTCCGCTCCACGTCTCTCCCTCCCAACCGTCCAAGATGCCTCCGGGGGGTCCTCTCAGACAGTCCCGAGACGCCTCAAGACAGCACCACCAAGACCCCCAAGATGGCCCCAAGAACCCCCAAGACGACCCAAGGCTGCCCCAGCCCTTCAAGAGGCTCCCAAGAGACCCCGAAGAAAGGACCACCGAGACCCAGTATCCCCCAAGAGCCCCCCGAAGGCACCGCAGCAAACATGCAACGCCGCAGTCGTGCAGTGCAGATGCATCAAACGTACCGCAGTGTGCTTGCAGGCCTCGCATCCGAGGCTATATCGATTTTCTCGCCCGCCGACGACGCCAGGTCCAGAACTCTGGCACGATCCGGCTGCTGTGAGATGGCTCGGCTCACATATGCTAACCGCCAGGCTTCACAACACAAGCGCCTGCACTAACCACCTTGGCCTCTACAAAAGGCTGGCACCCAACGAACTCTATCTCACACACACACACACACCAAAGCATCACACTCGCAAAGGAAAGCACAAGCCGCAAAAGAAGGCCCATCCCCCTCGCCATGCCTTGCCGAATAGAAAACTGCAAAAAGAAAGATTGCTCAGATCACGCGCACCTCCAAATAGAGCAACGCTGCAGCAAACCGCCTTCTGGCCCAAATGGCGTGTGCCAAACAGTGATGGCTACTTACGCGAGAGCATACGAGAAGTCACATGTCGGGAAGACCGCGAGAACAAGCAGCTTCTGAGAGGCTCCTAAGGCACATGCTCAATCTTCATCCTCCGAATTCCTCATTAGCGTCGCCGTCTGAGCGGCGCGCTGTTCCGCGCATGTGCTTCACCCAGTAGTCCCCGTCCTCGCCAGGAAGCGGGATCGAGACAGGGTGGCCGAGTTGGCGCGCCAGAGTCATCGCCCATTATTCGCCTCCACTTCCTCCGTCCTCCTCCCGTCCTCCTCCTCCTGATGTTCCTCCCGTCGCTGTCGCTGTGAGCTTCGGAGTTTACGTTTGGGCGCTGCCATCCCCCCTCCTCATCCTTAGCCTCATCACCACAACCACTACCCTCAGCCACATCATCGTCATCGCCATCGACACCGACTTCGCCATCACGATTACCAAAATTGTCATCATGACGATAACCATCATCATTACCGGAAAAACGCCATAGTCCTCCCCATCCGCACAACCACCACCACCATCATTTTCATCACCACCATAGTCATCACCCCCATCATCATCATCACCATTGTCAGCACCATCACAATCTTCATAACCATCATTATCGTCATCATCATCATCATCCATCACCATCCTCATCCTCATGATCGTCATCCTCATCATCCTCATCATCAACATCAGTATTATCACCATCAACAACATCATCAACTGGCGCCGGCGGTAAACCGTCAACCTGGTCACCGCCGGGAACCTCGTAGAGCTCCTTGCACGTCCAGGGTGCTCATAATCGAAGCAGAGAGTTCCATAGAATAATTCCTCGGAGTTGATATTTTTGCATTGTTTGAAATCCATATGCGGTTGGTTCCCGGAGTTCAACGGATAGTAAAACTGCATCCAGAGAGCTGAGCTGCTCTGGAAACGAAGTTCATATGCCAATGCGACGCGCAAAAATCTGCTTTCTCAAAATAAATGGTTAAATATCTTTCAAATTTTAACAAAACCGGCCAAAAGTCACGACTTTGTCCGTTCTGGTCGGGTCGGCCAACTAGCTCCACCCCGCGCCGGAATTCCTCTAGCTCATCGATGCCGAAGAGCTCTACGAGGTATAGTTTGACAGACCTAGCTCGAGTAGCAGACCGAGTTCAGGCCTCTGGATGCAACAGACGAACGCGCCTGATGATTCTGAATCGGTTTCTGTAAGTATCAGCTCTGTAGCTATCCGAAATCTCAAGGTAAGTACAGAAAACCGTGAAGGCGTATCAAGATGACTCGGAACACAGTCGGTTCCTCCAAGTGTTTTGATAGTAATACTGCACCTACGGACCTGAGAATTTAACTGGCAGACGCGGCAAAACCCACTACAGGTGCGAAAAATCTGGTTTCTCAAAATGAATGGTCAAATATCTTTCAAATCTCAGGAAAACCGACTCCAAGTCATCACATTGTCTCTTAAGGTCGGGTCGGCCAACTAGCTCCACCCTGCGCCCGAATTCCTCTTAGCTCATCTTGCCGAAGAGCTCTACGAGGTACATCATGATCATCATTATCATCGTCATCACCATCGCCACCATCACCATCATCACCGTCATCATCACCATCGCTCCTGCACAAGGCGACCGTGAAGACAAAGACAAAGTGGTGGTGCCATGGCAGATGGTGGTGCCAACGTATACAGCTACATCCGACGCTTGGAGCGGCCCTCCGAGCCATCATCAACGTCACCGACCCAAAGTTGCTGTGGAGTGAGTTTACGGACTTCTCTCTACAAAGGTATGCGACGGTGCTGGGTGTCACGTCGATTCACTTCTCACTAGTTCGTGGGTGCTTGTTGGACATATCGCAGACGGATGATCATCGAGTGCTTCGAGCTGTGCAGTCGCTGTGCTCCGACAGGAGCTCTCGTTTTTGGACTCGTTCTGCACAGGACGAGAGGCATGCCAAGAGAGTGGACCACGCTCTCAGGCGTACTGTTCGCACACGTTGTCTTCAGACAGTCACTCGTATCAGGCACGACTCGGGGTCCGGCGGAGGTCTTGTCGTATGAGAAGTTTTTTGGGGGGAGGAGAAGGAGGAAAGCTGAGGAGAAGGAGGAAAGCTGAGGAAAGCCAAGAAGTTCTCTGAATAGGGATCCCCTCTATCTGATGGCGACAGAGTGCGATTTGGGTTTTACCTTTCAGGAGCTGTGTCGTCGGAGACGCGACGGCAGACAGGCCGACCGTGTTTTCACTGTGGACACCTTTGGCCCTCTTTCAGGCACCTGTGGGCTGAGTGTCCTTTCTATGCGAGTGAGGGGCGAGCTATCACCTACCAGTTCGCCCTGGACAATCTTTTCTGGACTAGCGTCCCCAAAGTTGCGGCCAAGAGTGGATGGATCTGTTTCGCTCAGGCCCCACCCTTCAAGCACGTGCTACATTGATGAAGGCATCTTGTGAGATGGCCTTAAAGATCATGCAGCTCAGTCCACTTGAGCGCCTCTGGCCTCTGTGTTAGGGCTACCTTCGTGGGTCCACATCATCATAATTCACTGTGGTCCACTCACCCTCTTCTCCCATCGTCAACGTCATCAGCGTTATCACCATCATCATCATCATCATCATCATCATCAACATCATCATCATCACCATCATAATCATAATCACCGATATACTACTGTCAATCAGCATCAACATCAGCATCATCGTCATCAGCAGTATCATCAGCATCATCATCATGATCAGCATCATCACAATCATCATCTTCATCATCATTACCATCACCACCATTCTCAGCATTACCATCATCACCGCCAACAGCGTTATCATCATCACCACCATCGTAATAATCATCGCCACCAGCACCATCACACTCAGCAGCATCCTCATCTTTATCATCTTATCATCAGCGCCATCAGCATCATCATCAGCACCATCAGCCTCATCATCATCAGCATCATCGTCATCGTGATCGCGATTGTAATCGTAATCATCACCACCATCAGCATCATCATTAGCATCTACATCATCATTAACACCGTCACCAGCATCAGCATCATCATCGTCATCATCTGAGCACTGTCGTCATCATTATCATCATCGTCATCCCCGTCCTCCTCGTCATCCTCCTCATCATCATCACCATGAGCATCACCACCCTCATCAGCATCCTCATCTTCATCTTCATCATCAGCATCATCAGCATCATCAGCATCATCAGCATCGCCATCATCCTCACCAGCAGCGTCATCATCATCATCATCATCATCATCAGCAGCGACATCATCCTCATCATCAACATCAACAACCCACCATCCACTCAGCATCCACTCACCATCGACGCATCATCATCATCATCAGCATCATCATCAGCAGCAGCATAATCATCATCAGCATCGTCAGCATCAGCAATATCACCATCATCATCACCACCATCATCATCATCATAAGCATCAGCATCACCATCACCATCATCATCAGCATCGGCATCATCATCTTCATCACCAGTATCAGCACCATCATCAGCATCCGCATCACCACCAAACCAGTACCATCGTCGTCCTCCGCCTCTGCATCCGTCCCTCTCCCACGCCCTCCGCGCCCCTCATCCACCCCGAGCCACGGCAGGCCCACGGCTCCCTCAGCTGCGCGGCGCTCATCCAGCCCCCGGTGAGGTTCGAGGCTATCGGCAGCGTCGCGCCCTTGCCCTCTATCGGCTCCCCCAGGCCTTGCAGCGTGTCCGCCGCCTCTGGGAGAGGCTGCGCGCCATCGGCGGCCTTCGGCGACCATCGGCGGCCTTCGGAAGTCCGAGGACAGGCCAGAGACCCAGAGGGTCGGCGAAGGTGAGGGGTCGGGGGCAGCAGACGCGGGAGGGGCCAAGGGGCGGCGAAGCTGAGAGGCCGAGGGCGGTGAAGGCGGGGGGGGGCCTGGGCTTGACAGCAGGAGCAGGAGAGGGAGCAGGAGCAGTAGCAAGATCAGCGGCAGCGGGAGCGGGAGCGGAAGCGGGAGCGCAGAAGGCAGAAGGCAGGAACAGAAGGCAACAGCAGTAGCAGAAGCAGCGGCATCTGCCCCACGCACACTCCCCAGACCTCCGACATCAAGATTGTGCCACGACTTAGGCCCACAAGCTCTCGGGGGCCCTTCCGCAGCAGGGCGGGCGCTTCGCCGCGGGTGGTTCGCTGCTGGACTGGGCGGCCGAGAAGCATACCCACAGTCGGAGCTCGTGGAAGAAGACGGCTGCCATGATGCGTTTAGTAACGCCTAGAGGTCTGGGCCCGCCTCCTCCCCCATCTAGGCCCCAGCTGGGGTGGGCAATGCTGCCACAATCCGCGGTGAGAATGCCGGGCGCCTTGGCAATGAGGCCCGAGTGGAATGCCTTGTCGATGCGGAGCTTGGTGCTCTTCCTCGTGGCGGTCAAGGAAGGGGGGGCTGACAGGCGGGAGGAGAGGGGAGGGGGAGGGGGGGGGGGGGGGGCAAAAGGAGCAGGAGGAGAAGGAGGATGGAGGAGGATGAAGGAGGGTATAGGAGGAGGAGGAGGAGGATGCAGGAGGGCATAGGAGGAGGAGGAGGAGGAGGAGGAGGGGGGGAGGGGGGAGGGGGAGGGAACAAAGGTGCCCTTATGTTCCAACAAACGACAAGTTTTGCTCAAAAAAAGCAGCCTCCTGCTTGCAAACTGGGAGGCGGCCGCTTCGGCCCTCATAAATATCTCAGTCCGTTCTGCAAGTGAAACAAGGAGACCCTTCCTCCTCCTACTTCCTTCCGCCTCCTCCTCCTCCTCCTCCTCCTCCTCCTCCTCCTCCTTCTCCTGCCCCCCCCCCTCGTGTTGTCTTTCATCATCTTCAGGGTCGGCGGCAACGGCCGTAAGGCCTTCGCAATATCTCAGTCAGTTCTGCAAGTGAAACAAGGAGACAGGCAGGAGGGGAACGAGGAGGGAAGAGCTCGAGCCCAGCACGGCGTCGGATATCCGCCGGCCCCCCTGTGGGGCCACCGAGCTGCAGGACGAAGTTGCTGCTCCCTGTGCCAGCTGCAGTTTCAAGTCTCCAATGTTACAGTCCTGCTTTCTTTCTACCAATTAAATTGTTGAAGTCCTCATGGGGGGGGGCCGAAAAAATCCGGGCACCACGCTCGGATCGCGCTCTCTGAATTCACGGGGGGGCGTGGGACACAAAACAATACATTAGGTTCGCCCCCCCGAGGCCGTAATCCTTTGTAAATTACGCAATGCTCGCATCCCCGAGGCCATAAACCCATGCAAGTTATACCATGTGTGCGTCCCCGAGGCAACAGACCCTCGTAAATTACGCGGCTGTCGCGTCCCATGATATAAACCTGTTGCTAATTACCCCGTACTCGGACTGCCGAGGCCAAGAGTGCTCCAAGGCGCCCGAAAATGGTTCCAAGATAGCCCAATAAGGCCCAAAGAGGTCCCAAGGGCGCTCCAAGAGGACTCCCGAAAGAGCCCCAAGAGGCCAAAATCGTAATGTGGCATTTCTTCGTTGTTGTTGAAAGATTGTAGCCTTCTCGCAGTTTCGGTTTTCCGACGCTCCAAGACGGCTCGAGAAGCTTCCAAGACCGCCCCAAGACAGCCCAAGATGCCTCCAAGAGGGCCCCAAGACTGTCTTAGAGGTTTCCAAGATTGCCCAAGAAGCGCCCAAGACGGCCCAAGACGGCCCCAAGAGGGCCCCAAGCATGGGACCACGAACCGAACTTCTATATTATGTGCCCCGAAAAGCCCCCAGGAGGCTCCATACAAAAGGCCTCAGACCCACAACACAGACACGGTGGCAACATGGGCCGAAGGCCACTCGGATCAAAGAGGTGCCTGGCGTGCCAAACGATGTAGCTTTTGGTTTTGGTTCTTTTTCCAAAAGAACTCCCCCTGGGGCTTCGGCCCGTCCCGCCGGCCACCCGGAAGAGGTGGTTGCAAACGGTTTTCCTGCCCCAGACGGCCCCAAGATGGCCTCCAAGGCCTCCAAGATGCTTCCAAGACGGCCAAGATGGCCTCCAAGACGGCTAAGATGGCCTCAAGACGCCTCCAAGAAACCTCCAAGAAACCTCCAAGAAACCTCCAAGAAACCTCCAAGACGGCCCAAGAGGTGCCCAAGAGGCCTCCAAGACGGCCCAGAAGGCCTCCGAGAGGTCCTCCAGAAGGGCCCGCAGAGGTCAAAATCATTGATGTTCCTTAGGTTTTGAAAGGTTTTCCGTATTTGCGCCTTTTCGGCCTTGGGACGGCCCAAGACGGCCCAAGAGGCCCTCAAGGTCGCAAGATCGCCCAAGAGACTTCCAAGATGGCCTCAGGACTGCCCAAGAGGGCCCCAAGACGGCCCCTATAGGGCACAAAGACGACCCAAGAGGCCTCCAAGACGCCCAAGATGGCCTCTAAGACGGCCCTGGAGCACCCCAAGAGGGCCCCAAGTCGGCCCAGACCGGCCCCCCAAACGGCCTCCGACAGCGTCAGACGGGCCAGGAGCCCACCAACATGGCCGAAGTTGGCTCGAAGCTGACCCGAGACGGCCCAAGAGCCTCCAAGAGGGCCTCCAGGAAGGCCAGAAAAGGCAAACAACATTGATGTTCCTTAGGTTTTTGAAGGATTTGCCATTTGCGTCGTTTCGGCCTTCCGACGGCCCGAGACGGCCCAGGAGCCCCCAAAGATCGCCCAAATATCGCCCAAGAGGCCCCCAAGACGGCCCAGGAGGCTTTCAAGACGCCCAAGATGGCCTCCAAAACGGCCCTGGAGCATTCCATGAGGGCCCCAAGTCGGCCCAGAGGGGCCCCCCAAACGGCTTCCGACGGCGTCGGACGGATCAGGAGCCAACCAAAACGATTGAAGATGGCCCTAAGGTGGCCCAAGACGGCCCAAGAGGCTTCCAAGAGGGCCTCCAGGAAGGGCCGAAAAGGTCAAAATCATTGCGTTCCAAGAGTTTTTGAAGGATTGTGGCATTTGCTTCTTTTCGGCCTTCCGACGGCCCGAGACGGGCCGAAGTGCAGCCAAAGATCGCCCAAGAGGCCCACGACGGCACCCAGAGGCCCCCAAGACGGCCCAAGAGGCATCCAAGACGCTCAAGATGGCCTCCAAGACGGCCCAAGAGCACTCCAAGACGTCCTCCCAGAAGGCCCGAAAGGGTCAAAATGGCATCCAGGCGACCAAGATGACTTTCAAGATGCCCACGTGTTCCCCGAAGGCTTTCCAAACCGATTCGGGGAACACATGGTCCGACAGCTTGGCATGTCTGGCCTCAACGGTCGGCCACATAGGCGCTTACAAAAAGGCAGGGGGCGGCGGTGATTCGCACTAGGCGTCTTAGATAACGCCAACATCTCAATATGCGCTGATGTTTCCTATCCGCCCGCGCATGATGTTCCCAGATGCGCCAGGGCAGCGCCAAGACACACCGGTGCGACTCTGATATATCCCATTCTAATAGAGAAGGCGCCGGCGGCAAGAGGCGAAGCCCGTGAGAAACATGCACCGCTCCACCCAAGCCAGACAAACGTTCGCTCCCAGGCTCTCGGAATGCTCGTTGGCAGAACCCCCCCCCATATGGGTCCTTAGGGGGTAGGGGGGGGGAATGTCACGCGGCTGCAGGCGAAAGAATATGTGGCGGCTCTCTTTCGTTTCTGGATTACACCTCTCGTGCAGCGGTCAAGACGGGGCAGGCAATGACGTTCACAAGGCTACACATGCCGGCCTTATGTTCCACTAAACGGCAAGTTTTGTTCAAACGAGCGGCCTCCTGCTTGCAGGCTGAAAGGCGGCCGCTTCGGCCGTTGTTAAATATCTCAGTCGGTTCTGCAGTTGTAACAAAGAAGGAAGCAGGAGGGGAACGAGGAGGAAAAGGCTTGAGCCCAGCACGGCGTCGGATATCCGCCGGCCCCTTTGTGGGGCCACCGAACTGCAGGACGAAGTTGCTGATCCCTGTGCCAGTTGCAGTTTCAAGTCTCCAATGTTACAGTCCTGCTTTCTTCCGATTGTAAATTGCTGAAGCCCTGGAGGGCCGCCTGCTTCAACATTCTGCTGGCAGTCTAAGCAGAAAGTCTGACATTGCTTCTATACTATGCCTAAGCCAGTGAGCTAACTGTTTGGCCAGCCCGCCAGGATAAGTTTTTGCACCTCGGCTCCGCCTCACGCCGTTTGGGCTGGGTTCCCTGGAGACCAAGGTGAGGCTGGCCAGTTTGCCCGCACATGCCTCTCGAGCTATGACATCTCCCGCACAATGCAGCGGGCGGGGCACACAATGCCACGAGCGCTGGCGAGTGAGCTTCTTCCACGGCGCTCCGCATTGGCACCTGCCAAACACAGCGTCTCTACAGCAAGAATGTATGTTGAGGTCGGCCATGACTGGCTCCTACCATGACTGGCTTTCACTTAGGATATATGATCGGCGTTCCGAGGTGGATGCACGCGCGAATAATCAACTGAATAACGACGAGGGTAGCGCTGCCGAACAGGAGGCGCCGCAAAGCGTCCTCGTCCAAATAGGGGTGCCCATAGATGTACTTTGGGCCTCTGTAGAAAGTGCGAGTTTGAGACCTAGTGGATCACGCAAGCGCTGCAAACACTGCGAGCACAAGGCGGCCGGAGATCCAGCCGACGACAGTACTGCCAACTGCTGTGGATGCTCGAGGCACAGGCGCTGCAATCTGCGAAGGACACGAGAGACACCGCCAGCGCCCGAAAACATGTCGGCAGCCAGCACGCAGAAGCGTTGCCGAGCTCACGCTGCACGCCGTCACCCAGGCCGGCCCGCAGCGCCGCCCCAGACAGCGCGAGGTTGCTGACGAGGGCGCCCCCCAGCCGCCTGTGCTGCCCTCGCTTCAACGCGTCGTCACGGCCAGCAAGGCGGGCGGCAACAGCGTCCGGCGCCCGCTCAGGAGCGACGCGACCTGGGCCTCCACCAGCTCGCCGCAAGCCCTGACCTTGGCCGGCACCTTGCCGAGCTCGGCGAGGTACCGCGCGTGCTTCTTGTAGCACAGCGTGCTCTTGGGGTGCGAATGGCACAACCGCTCCTGGTTTTCAGGATCTCGGCCTGCGTCCGCCCCAGGCACGGCGCGTCGTCGCTGGCCGCCACGTGCCGCACCTGGCAAGGATGCCGCGCAGGCCGCCCCATCACGGCGGCCGCCCTCTCGAACCCCGCGTGGAGCTCTGCGGCGGCGAAGGACCAAAGGCCGCCCGTCTCGCCCTCCGCGCGCTTCAGCCACCACAGCTGCGCCGCCAGCCCGGCAGTGAACTCGCCGTTCAGCAGCAGCCCCTCGCCCTCGCGGCCCGTATTGCCCCTCTCCTCCGCCTTGGCTAGGCACAGCAACAGGCCCCAGTTGGTCACCCCTGCACCGCCCCACGCAGGCTCACGAAGTCGCTCGGCAGCCGAAGGCCGCCGCCCCACGCGATCGCCAGGCGAATGCCGAAATCCACGCCCAGCGCCACGACCCCCCCCGCCCCCAGCAAGGCGGCGAACTCCAGCCTCGGCAGTGGCAGCCAGGACCGCCCAGGCGCCAGGCGGCGGAAGCCCTGGAGAGCCGCGCGCGCACGGCAGAGGCACTCCTCTCCGCCGCGCCTGAACTTCGGCTCCTCGAACGCCAGACCTGACAGCAGTTTGTCTCCCATCTCGTGGTTGTAGCCGTCGAAATCCGTCCTGGTACTCCACGAGCACCTCGCCCAGCGCCTCTCGGGTGGCGACCCCCTTGCGGGTCCTCTGGCACCAAGCCCGGAAGGCCTTCACCTCCCTGCACAGCGTTTCGCGGCTCTTGGCGTTCGTGCGCCGGCTCTCCGGGAAACCCAGCTGGCCGTGGCTGCCCGGCAGCGCAAGCAGCGGCGCGTTCGCCGCCGCTGCCCGGCGCCGTGCGGCGCTGCGGCCCCTCCGCGCGGCCGCCTCGGGACCTTCGCGCGGTCGCCCAGCGCCAGCATCCGCGCGCGGACCATCGGCCGCGCCAGCTGCCCGCGCGGCGCCGAGGGCGCCACGGGCGCCGCCGCCGCTGAGCGAGTCGTCGAGCGACTCCGCGGCCGAGCTGTCGAAGGCGTCGTCGTCTTCGCCGTCGTTCCGAACTCGACGAACGGCTGCTGCCGCTGTTGCCGTCGCAGCCGCCCTATGCACGCCGCAAGCTCCCTGTCCGGGAGGTGGGCGCCGCCAAGGCCGGCTCGGCCCTCCGCCTCAGCGCGCAGCCGCGCCGCGCCGCTTGGCAGCGTGTCCCCCGCGAGGTCGTCGCCCAGGCCGGCGCCCGCTGCGCGAGGGCAGCAGAGGTAGTCGAGCTCCCCCTGCAGCAGCGCGCTGTCGACCTAGGGGGAAAACAAACCTACCTCGTTTTTGACCACCCTCGCTTCCAAGAGATACCAAACGACGCCAAATTGCAGCCTGTACTGGTCAGGCCGCTTGACGAGGAGGCGCGTGGTATGGCTTGGTTTTGCCTGGAAGCGAAAGCGGGGTAGGTCATTCACGCTCTGACGACCGCGGCGCGCAGGGCCTCCCCGTCATCGGTCCGATCGCAAAGAGGTGGGGTCGTAGCTCCCCTCCTGCTCCTGCTCCTGATCCTGCTCCTGCTCCTGCTCCTGCTCCTGCTCCTCCTCCTCCTCCTCCTCCTCCTCCTCCTCCTCCTCCTCCTCCTCCTCCTCCTCCTCCTCCTCCTCCTCCTCATCCTCAAGGCTCTGCAGAAGAACATGGTCATCCATGAACGCCAATCGAGAGAAAAAACAAACAAATTACGCTAACTCAACACGCCTGGTCGAGCAGGTGGCAGCCTTCCGGG